TAGGTAGACATTTAAATCCAGCTTCTAGATGCTGCCCCCACTCCCATGCCATCCCAATATTCTCAAAATCTGGCAAGTGAAATAAATTGCCAAAGAAGACATGTGTTGGAATTTTATTTGTGGTGTTGTCATTGCTATTTATGTCCAGGGCATTTGAAATCAGTACATGTGAATTTTTAAACAATCTACCATATTGGAAAAGAGGGTTTCATGCCTTTGTAAGGCCAAGGATGTGACCTGCAGTGAGGACAAAATTGCACAGTTGTGTACCCCAAAATGCTGTGGTTTACAGCTTTACACTTGAGGTTTGATGTTTTTATTTGTTGGTCTGGGAGCTGTGGGAAACTCAAGTATTATAGTCCCCATCAAACCATATGTGGACAGGGGTCAAGCGCACACACCCATCATATGTGTGTCTCTGTTTAGAGTAAGTAGTGTATTTCTTTCCTTTTGATTGTATATATGCACACTCTCTATCTGATCATACATATACATATTTTTTGTACAGTATATGTTTCTTCCTACCTTCTTTTCTAACCCAAAACCAAATAAAAAATGCTAGTAATTATTAAGATAACTAATTTTATTGTTTTATGATACTGTACTGGCTTAGAAGTTGTACTGACTGTTGTTTACATTTTAAGTCAAAAATAACTTAAAATTCAGTCTCATGAAGTATATCAAGGCCCCATAAACCAATATATTATCACTTTTCTTATTTAACTATTTATGTGGGTTTTTTTCTCTGAATTTCTGTGCATATACATATGTTCATATATATATATATATATATATATATCTCCCTGCAGGGACAATATTCCTGCACATAAAAAAACTGTTCAAGGCTCTGGTTATGCCAAAGATGCAAAGCTTTACTTTGTAGGTTAATACACTTGTACAAGAAGACTTGCAAGGCGCAATGATAGAATCATACAGATAGAATCACCATCAGGTAACAATACAATATAATATGGTTTAGATTACTTGTTACGCATAAGTGACATAAATTATACTCTATTTGTGCTACTCAGTATTTATGCATCTACTCAAGTAATTGTGTATTGAATGGACATGTGGGTTAATGATATTTTCTAACAAAGGGTGAGAAAGGAGTTAAAGGTATTATTAAACTAGACAAAAAGCTTGTGTTTTGGATCACAGCAACGTCTTACATATGAGCTTTGGTGCTAGTTCTCAGATATTCCATACTTTAGATGAAAAGGCATGTGCCAGAATCAGTTCTTTCTAATCTCTATAAAGAGACAACTGGAATTTTCATGAAAACTTGATTTCTTAGAAACTCAGTATGTGTATGTTGAGATATTTGGCCAAACTGCCCACTTTTATTCTGAGATAATCTTAGGCTTCACACTTCGGCATTAGTGATTTCTTTATTTTTGTTCCATTAATAATAGTGTTGTGCTCCAAAACTTGAAAAACTTAAGCCGTTGTCCAGCCAAAGGACAACATTCTGGTTTAGGTGGGATATAAGTGGTCTAAATGGCCTTTCCACTTTGAGTGCAAGTTTGGCATACCAGGGTCTGCGCCACTGGCAGAAAACTGCCCTGGCAAACTAGGATGGGTGGAGGAGATGACCATGGTGTCAAAAAAACTTTTGTGGTTCTTTCCTATGAGATGAGCATCTCAGATCATGCAGTGTGGGCAGTGGATGTCCTCCCATCCTGGCCACCCTGCCAGAGTTGAATGAGAGGCAGGGGGAGCATGGGAACAGCTCCCCACTCTGGAGTGTGCAGGTTGACGGTGAGGTGACTCGTGGCAGCTTTGGTATCTGCACTTGCTAATGTGAAAGCTACTTCTTCTTCCTGAATATACATTTTTGTCACATGAAGGTTTCTAGCAGCTGTGTGCAGGTGCCCAGCTGTGTGTGTCCAAGCAGTGTTACCAGTTCTCATACTGCATCCCACCTGAGAGCAGGATCCCTTAGGCCAGCCTGGCCCTATGACGTTAGGGCTAGGATTAGTGTCAGAGAACCACTCTCAGTGTCTCTCACCTGGAAGGTCAGATAGTGACTTTTATTTTCTTAACTGTCCACATTGAAATGCTAGTTGAACTTCCAGATACAGCATGAGGTTGGCATAGCTCTTGGCAGTGAAGACAAAAAGCAATTGTCCTCCAGCCTGGAGCTTCAAGGGTAGAGAACTTGCAGCATTATCAGCGATTTTAGTATGTGGGGATGAAGAGAAGGGTCTTCGGGGTGCTTGAGGAAATAATGCAAGACAGAATTTGAAAGCAATTGAACCACTTTCTCACAAGCTCTCCCTGCATGCCAAGGGGCAGCCACTGTGCCTGGTGTTCTTGCTGCATTAATGCCATATTTTTCCAGGCTAACCCAGTTACCACTTACCCTTTTTAACATGCCTCTGCAGCAAAGTGCTAGAGACTTACACTTTGTTATGATTTTAATGTAGTTCTTTATCCATTCTGAAAATAAACTGTAGCTTGCTTTTCTGGGAAAGGAACTGAGGGGTTGGGGTGGGATGGAGGAGGATGGGGATGGGGGGGCATAGGCATGTGCACAAGTGTTTCTGAGCAGGATTCTCCCAGGACAAAGCCTTCATCGTTTATGGGCTCCCACTGGGATTAACTAGGAGCAACAGAGTCAAAACATGTTTGGGTGCCCAGTACAGCCTGCTTTCTGTCATATACTCGGAGGTGTGGTACTTGTTGCCATTGGTTTGCACATGGATTTGACTTTGGTCAAATCCATGTGCAAACCAATGGCAACAAGTACCACACCTGCCATGCCCTATAGATCACACCGAAGAGAAAATGCTGCTTGAGCCATGCTGGCTGGGCAGTTCCATTTTCCCCAAGATGCTTTCATATGAGAGGCCTGTTCAATCCTGGCCAGCAGACTGGCTCTGGGGGTGAGGGTGTCTGGCTTTGCCTGCTCTGCAGCAGTGCTATTCTGGGGGATACAGGCACATGCTGCAGAGCTGTCTGTGTTCATCTCCCACCTTGTGCACTCTGGTAGAGATGCAAACCCACCCTCAGCCAGCTCTCGTGGTGATGCGAACACAATCTCACACTGACTCCCTATCCCTTGCAGTAGCAAAGGCTGTAGAAAGTGAGACTAGTTTCTCTCTGCCCTTACCTCACCTACATTTGTTTTTTCCTGCTTGCCAGACTGCCAGGCAGTTCTTGCTTTTGGTGCACAGGACCCTAGTGCAACTGTAATCCCTTGGCCAGACCGTGGGAGGGAGTGGGGCCTTCTGCAAGCCCTGCCTGGGAAAGAGGAGACTTCCCATATCTATGCAGCTCACAGGGGCAGCCTTGCTGATGTGGTGTTATGGATTTGGTTAAGTTGTCCTGATCCTTATGGAGGGATGAGAGTGATAAAAGGGACAGAGGAGAGTTATTGTCATCTTAAATCAGGTCTGCAATAATGGCTTGTTGTGTAAGAGTTCAAGCACTCAAAAAGGTGTGTTCAAGGACATCAGTGCATTTGTGCCAAGAGGAATGTCTTTTATGGTAAATTAACTCCAGTTAAAGAGAATACTTATTCAAAGGGAAACTCCATAATTTAAAGCTGGCATTATCAGCTTTTTATGTCTGGGTAGAGGGAAAAACAATAGGATCTCAGGGGTATTTTATACCAGATATAAAAATAGGTTTTGCTAATTATGGTTAACCCCAAGTTTGTGTCATTTGTCTTTGCCTAAATGTATATCCTTAACTTGTCACTTATCAATATAGTCTGTAGAAGAGAAGATGCACGATGGCTGTTGAGTCCTGCAAATCTGAGGGTACTGGGCAAGAGTAGCTGAGCTGTGGAGATGAGGCATGGATTCTGCAAAGGTTACTTTGTTGGGCTCTTGCTGTTTCCTTTGACATTACCTGTCTTGTACGGGGTCTCTCCTTCCCCCTCTCATTCCTCTGCTTCTTTTGGTTTGTAAATTTATGGGAATTGCAGCTGGTAGCCTTGGCAAGCTCCCCTCATTAAGAGCCTTCTTTGAAAATGGGCTGTGTTTGAGCATTTCCCTAATGAGGACAGGACGGGGTTAAAAAGTGACCATTTCATGGTTGACTTGAACCTGCTTACTTTCCTTGATGTGTCGTTGTGAAATGCCTGACGTGAATAAACTCTCACTTTGGGCAAAGAGGAAGTCAGCGGTCCCTCCGGCACGCCGCCGGGGGCTGCGCAAGGGCAGCGGGAGGGAGCGCCCGTGGCGCTCGGCCGCCCCTGCCCGCAGCGGCGGTGCTGGGGGTGGGGGCCGCACACACCGGACGCCCCCTGAGCTGGACACAGCATCGCAGCCCACCTCACAGGAGCAGAAATAATTTTCGCTCACTGTTTTCCCCCTTTTCCCAGCTCCCCTGGTTAAAGCTGCCCCCTGAGAATGAAACCAGACCCTGGCACCCTGTTCCCGCCCGGGAGCCGGATCCCCTTCGCCGCCCCCGGCCGCAGCCTGCGAGGGCGGGGACATCAGTCTCCGGCGGTGCGGGACAGGCTCCCCCCGTTCCGGAGGGCGGCGGAGGGGGCCGTCCTCCCCCGTGTCCCCCGCCCAGGGTGGGGGAAAGCGGGGGCGCCTGAGCCCCGCCGCAGCTGGCGAAGTCGTACCCCGAAAGAAAAGAAGCCTCTCGCAGATGGCAGCCCCCCGCCCCTCCCCTTCTCCCCCGCAACTTTCTCCCACCAGAAGAGCGGGAAAATCAGGGAGGGATGTTTGCGAAACGTGCTCGTTCCTTCTCCAGCTTTCGGTGGTAATGAATGCAGAGGGAGGGCAGAGGAAGGGGATCTGGTGGAGAAGGAATGTGTTTGGAGGAGGAGGAGGAGGAGTGTAAACGGTGATTGTGTAATTAAATAATTAAACAAAAATACTTAAGTCTCATTTGGGGAGAGAGCTGGAATAGGGTCCGCAGGGTGTACTGATGAATTTTCCAACTTCCAAGTTTTGCAGAGTCAGGGGCGGGGTAGGGAGGGGACACTCACAGACACGTTGAGAGCAAATCGGGTGGAAGCGCCAGGGAGAGATTTATCGTTTGAATTTTCAGGAGATCATTTTTATTACGGTGTCCGTTTGGAAAGCAGTCTCACCACTGCCCGCAGAGCGAGGACGGGCGGGCGAGCAGAGGCTGCCGGAGGAGCCCGCAGGCCGCACCGCCCGCCCTGCCCGCCGAGCGCGCCCCCGCCTCGGCGCGCCCCCTCGGCACGGTCCCGACCGCCCGGCGAAGTTTCGCTTGCCGCCGCTGTTCACTCCTGCTCCGCTCCGGGCTGTAACCTTGAACTTTCGAAAGCGTGGTGACAGTGTCGTGTTATTACGACAGCACCATCAACTTCTGAAGAAAGAAAAAACACCGCCCCCCCACCCCNNCCCACCTCCCCGAGTCCTTCCCCCCTCATCTGCAAAACAACCAGCAGCAGCAGCAGCAGCAAAAGCAAGACTCCTGCGCCGCCGACTACAAGAGGGTTAAAAGTGTAGATTGGATTTCACCCCGGGAAATCTAGCACACGGAGTGAACTTGAATCTTTGGCTATTTAAGGAGGACTGGGGTTTGTTGTGAAGTTGTGGTGATCCAGAGCAGAGCCCCGTCCTGATTGATTTCATCTTCCTTGAGTCTCAGATGACTGTAAAATGAATAGATGAAATTATTCCTTTTTGAGGCTTTTCTTAGGGGCTCTCCGGGCAACGTGTTCTCAAAGCGAAGTCATGATGTATTCTCCCATCTGTCTCACTCAGGTATAGACGCTTTTATTTAATTTATTTGTTAATTTATTTATTTTCACGTGTTTGTTGGGATTTTTTTTTTTAATTTTTATATGTATGTGGGTTGTTAATGAGTCATTGCTAGTAGTTGTAACGGGTTAAAGCACAGTCGTAACTGTTTGTCAGATCCAAACTCCTCTCTCAGGAGGGAGTATTAAAGAATAAACTGTACCACGCCATTGTTTTGGGGAGATCCATTCAAAGTGTCACCCGTAGACAAATACTGTTAATTGTTGGTGCATAAGGAGTCAAAGGTTAACAAACTGGAAATGAGCATAATTATGCTAAAAAACCATGTTTGAGAGGTATTGATTTGATTGGAATCAAACGATTTGCACTCTTTTCAGCTCGCCACTTTACACACAGCCTAATGAAAGGGTTTGAAAGGAAAAGTGCTTTTTTTGACAAAACACGACCACTGGCCGGTGCGAAGTAATCCCGTCTTATGCTTAATTAATAATATGCAGGCTGCCAACAATGAGGGAGATGTGAGAGGGGATGACCAAGCTGTGCAGTGTTTTCTCGCTCGGTTGTACAAGGGCAGGTCGTTTTTCCCTTCCCCGCTAAAGTGTGGCGCTGGCGGAGGAGCGTGTCCTCTCCCCAGCACGGGGAAAGACCGACCCTTTTTTTACAGCCGCGCTTGCTGTCTCTTTTCGGTCCCGAGCGGCGACTGTCAGCGGGACGGCGGGCGGGGAGCGGCGGTCGGCGCGGTGCGGAGCGGGGCCGCGGAGCGGGGCCGCGGAGGGCGGGGGGCGACGACGGGCGGCGAGCGGGGGGCAGTCCGAGCCTGGGTCCGCGCCGCGGCACAGCGCAGATTTTGAAACCTGAGGGGTTTCGGAAGCATGTTTGGGAAGTTCCCCGGGTGCCCCTCGAAGCACCCTCGGCCGGCGTACGGAATCGGCGAGCGAGCGCCGGGGCACCGGAGCATTTTTCGGACGGTAAACCCTGTCTGCAAAGCCCGGGGATAGTTTTCAGCTTTCGTGAAAGTCTGACTTAGGAGGATGTGATGTAAACTGATTAAGCGATAACTGCTTGCTTCTACATTGGTGCAAGAAATAGCTAAAGAAGCAGAAAATGTGCGAAAGTAATGTCTGCTGCGAGGCTGCTACAGAGAGGCCAACGATGCACTTACAGTTGCACCGTGAATAAATAAGTGTGATTTAAGTTATTCTGCAGTTGCAAACCATTGTAATTCGAAGGACTAAAGTATTCATAAATTGTGATTGAAGACGGAAACAATGATAAGGCTTATTCAGTGATTGGACACAGTTCTGCAGTTTTTTGGCTGACACATTTTTTATTGTTTATATTTTGTTTGGCATCTAAGTGTGATTGACTTAGATATGGATATTTTCAGTAAGTAAACGTGAGCTGCAGTGGAAGAAAGCTGGAAAAAAGTGTTATTGAGATATTTCTTCTTCAAAAGAAAAACATAGGAAGCATTTTGTGCAACAGAGATGCACATGCTTGCAGGTACACACATAGAAATAACTACTTAGCATGGAATCTGTGGTTAGCAAAATTAATTCTGTGTAGGCTGTTCACCGTGTGAAATTATTGATGGGCAATAAGACCTATGCATCAGAATATAAACCTGACAGTACAATTTAAGAAAGCAGTTTTTGCATTTGAGATATAGGTTTTCACAACCACCTCTTTTACAGAGGTAATTCATGATCTTGTTTCCTTCCCTAATGACTTTTTTATTAAATTATATTTTCTTTTTGGGCTCATTGATGTAATAGATTTCCTCATTCTTTACAAATTTGTGTTAAAATACTGCACTCAGGTGTATAAAAAAATGCTACATTGTACTTCTACTGTCATTAATCCAAGAAAGCAGTTCCTTGCTTTTGTGCATTGATACTTTTTCCATAATATTTTACAATCATGCTCTACCATGTGCCATGCAGGGACAGTTCCCATTTGGTGATACATACATGGAACACAGTTGCAGCAAATTGATTTTAGTTTGGAATATTTTTCTACTTGCTTGGAATGATAAGAGAATTTTATAAATTATTTTTTCTCTATATAAATTAGAAATAAAAATTACACCAGTAATGAGAACTTAAGCCTCATATTCTTTATTTGTTTAAGGCAAAGGATTAATTGATCTCACTTTCAATAGCAACTGCATTAAAGCATTACTGCCACAATTGTTCTCTCTATTGTATTCTCTGTCTCTAGGACTCTTGCAGTGCACATCGACTGTGTGTATGTTCAGAAGAAAATTTTTTGGTAAAAGTAAACACAGAACACCTGTTTGGATGGAACTACTTATGAAAGTGGTAGTTCAGTTCCGAGACAGCACTGAAGCACATTTTAATAACAAGTCCAAGATCCAAAGTACAGCTTTAAGACAAACCTTGTTGATTTGAGTGTTACCCATCACACTTACAATGAAAGTTTGGTGGGTGAAAATAACTTCAAGGTAGAAGAAAACTTACCAATTTAATTTTGTGGGTTCCCTCCCTCTCTTTCCCATATACCTCTTTCTGTATGTTTTGGAATGACTGGAAACTGCATTTATCTGTCTTGCTGAGGCATGAATAGGATGCAGTTACTGCATGCCTTTTAGTGCTTGCTCTCTTTGAGATATTTTCCCCGTAGTTTATTATGTTACAGTAGTCCAAAATCTCAGAATATGTAGTATTTTCTTTTGCGCCTATGTTATTTCACTAGGCATAAGAAAATCCATGCAGGGAAGTTGACTAGGTAAAGTTTTCAGTAAAAATTTCCATACTTCTGCCTGGTGTATTTATTTTACAATCCTCAATTTGAGCTTTCATGTGCTGATAGAAAGTTTAAAATTGAAAGACAGGAGAAGAGCACTGCATATCGTCTTTATATTTTCAATAAAGTAAATTTGGCCTTCTTATGGTCATTAGATGACTGCTATTTTTTCCTTTTTTTGCAAGCAACATAGATGTTATATAGTAACTTCCATTTTAATTTAAATTGCCGGTGCACAGTGGTTCATCTTAACTATTTGATATGACATTTGAAAAATCTTATCTTTATAAATCACTTCATTGCAAGAGCAACTGTGACACATGAGCAAGTGCCACATAAAAACAAAAAATAATTCACTATTGTCCATATGAATATTAAGGAGGAGAAATAAAATTCTGTTGATGTATTTTTAGGAGATTTGGTGGAGAATGTGTGTGATTAATTGCAAATGTCCATTTAAGATAATTTTTATGGGCACTTCCCCATGTCAAGTAGTATTTTAATTTGAAAATAGTCCAGGTCCACAATGAATAGCTCCAAAAATCTGATATAATTTCTTTCAAACAGGATGTTTTGCTGTGTTGCTTCTCAACATTTTTCACCTATATGTATATCTTTAGGACTTAAAATACTGTGAAAGAAAAACCTAAATTCAGTTTTTAAAAGGTTGGAGTTTCCGGTGTGTATATTTTTGTGTTTTTTTTTTTTTTTTTCTTCCCTATTTTTGAAAAGGAAACATTCAACTTCTACAGACTGGAATTTAATCAGTGAAATTGTCTATAAGATTTTCATAGATATAAAGTGCTATAGGTTATTATTGTTAATAGTAGTAATGCCTGTAGTATTGTTAATACTACAGGCATTACTTCAAGGCATAATCAATCTGTAATACTTTAATAATTTATGATGCTCTTCTTCAAAATTAAAACTAGATGAGCAATATTCTACTAGTGTAGGATATGTTCATGTTTATTTTATTGCCATTTTAAGTTATAAATGCCAAATTCTTTTTAGATGTAGGGAAAATCATTGTATTGAGGCAAAAATTAATTTCTTCCAAAGCTCTTCAGCCACCTGCCTTCACCCCACCTTTAGCCCCAGCTGCTAGAATTTTCAAAATCTGTAGTAAATCTGTTTTATTCAGCCTAAAATGAATTGTGAGGACTTAACACAGTACTGTCATTATGCTTCCACTAATTAAAAAAAAAAACAAACTCAATACTTCAATTAAGATGACTTCTGTAGGAGAAAAAATAAACTTTCTTTAGTAGTTATAATTGAAAGGGAAAAAAGCATGGCATCAGAAAACATATGAAGATAGGGAAGTCTTATCAAGGGCTGTGGTTGCTCAGAGCAGTACTGCCTTCCCACACAAAGAACAGATTGTGGTTTAACTCTTTCCACGGCCTAGTTTTATATGCAGTATAGTAACAGAATTGTTCAAATCTCTGCTGGAAACTACTAATCAGTTTAATTGTTGCCTTTGTAGGTCTTTGTCAAGCATCATACTGTAATGAAATTGTTTATGACCTGAAGTATCTTCCTATATTGCCCCTCTGTTCTTTTATTCCTTCCCCCCCCCACCCCGCCGCCTTTGCTTAATTTTTTTTCTATGAAGACAATGTGATCATAGGTAAACTGGGTGTAACTTTTCTGTTGTTTTCTGTTTGATTTAAAGATGGTTAGAGAAGAGAGGTAACTAGATCTAGTGGGTTTTGCAACATTCAGGAAATTTTGAAGTTTGTTTGAAATTCAAAGATTTAAATATGGAATTCTTTGCCTGAAGCTTCTGCAATGGCAGTCTGCACTCTATAATTGAGACCATTAGTTATACTTTCATCATTTTTACCTAATGGAGTTAATCAGCCTATTGATTAAACATAATTCATTCCTTGTCTAGCAGCATAACTAAAATAGTAGTTTGTTAATTGTATTCTTGAATATAATTGCATAAAAAAGGTTCAGTTTTAGTTTGATTGCACTG